CTTGCTGCTTGAGTGCTTATTGTATATAAAATCCTGCTCTGCATTAGCTGATGCTTTCTGTACTTGATGTGTAACTGGGTTGTTCCCTCAGGCTGTGAGATCTACTCTGATTCTGGAAACCATGCCTCCATGATCCAGGGGATTCGAAACAGCAGGGTGCCAAAACACATCTTTCGCCATAATGATGTCAACCATCTTCGAGAGCTGTTAAAGAAGTCTGATCCATCTACCCCTAAAATTGTAGCATTTGAAACCGTGCACTCCATGGATGGTAAGATGACATAGGCTGCTCTCTCTTTCCAGTGTAGCCTGTACTGAGATCTGTATTTTGGGTCTGGAAGTACAAATTGCTGTAAGTGTTTGAAGTGTAATGTTTGTCCAAGTTGAGTGCAGAGGATCCTAAACTGCATTTTGCTGCTTTGGTCTGTAGGTGCTGTCTGCCCTCTGGAAGAGCTGTGTGATGTTGCCCACGAGCATGGGGCAATCACTTTTGTGGATGAAGTGCATGCTGTGGGGCTGTATGGAGCTCGAGGTGGTGGGATAGGGGACCGAGATGGAATCATGCACAAGATGGACATCATCTCTGGAACGCTCGGTATGCACAGCCTGACAGTTTCACAGAAGCTTACATATTCTAAGGTTGCAAAGCTTCTGAGCAGCCAAATTAAGTGGGTTAACTCAAAATCTGTCTATTGAAATGAACTTGCTAAGGATTTACTGAGGGGAGGGGGAGAGGGTTTAGTATTTTTTCAAAAAGCCCAAAGGATTTAAGTATGTCCCAGTTTGGAAAGCATTTGTTAAGCTACTTACTTTGTCTTAAATCTTTTAGGTTAGCATTCTTGCTTTAAACAAGCTAGTAAAAAAAAAGAGTCCTGAGTCAATTCAGGTGAGAAAGCTAGCAGGGTAGCACTCTGTACATGGTTCTTTTATGTGAAATGGAGTGTTCCTAATCCAGAAACCTGAGATGGGGGGGTTACGTAAAAAGACTTGGCAAGAGCTGAAGCAACTGCTATTATCTGAGGAGAATGCAAGCTTGGCAGTGAGTTTACTGCTGCAAATGGGAAAGTTGTTTAAACAGCACCTAAAACATAAATAAAACTTAGTAGGGGAGCTAGTGGCTTGAGCTCTGACAGCTTTGTTCCATTTTCATTAGGATATGACCCTCAACACCCAGATTTTGTGTGGCCCTACTTGGGTACCAGAGCATCCCCCTATTTGGAAAGTAAGCATTGATCACACAGAGTAACCACCATGCGTGCTCTTCAGGAGTGTAGGCTATTTCCAGCATCTCTGGAACAGATTTAAAGTAATCTGCTGAGAGACTTAGTGTTGATCTTCTTGGGTCACTACCAAAGACTGTGCTTCTGAGGTCTTCCCCAAATCAGAAGCTGGGTGTTTGATGTGGTCTGGAACTATCCTCACTGTGTACGAGCTAAATAGGTGTTATCAGGGTTTAGAAACGAAGCTTTGACATCTCTTGAGTACAGGCAAGATGAGAGGGAGGGGTTGAAATGGTTGCCTGCCATGCACTTCCAACCATTCTGATGGGTTTGAGGAAGAAGCTTGGATTACTTAAATTTTTAATTTCTGAATTGTTTTTTAGGCAAAGCCTTTGGCTGTGTGGGAGGATACATCTCCAGTACAAGTGCTCTGATAGACACTGTCCGTTCTTATGCTGCTGGCTTCATTTTCACAACATCCCTGCCACCCATGCTCCTGGCTGGTGCCCTCGAATCTGTCCGAACTCTGAAGAGTGCTGAGGGACAAGTATTGAGGCGCCAGCACCAACGCAACGTGAAGCTCATGAGACAGATGCTGATGGATGCAGGGCTTCCTGTAGTGCACTGCCCAAGTCACATCATTCCAATAAGGGTGAGTACTTAAGATCTCTAACAGAGGGCCCTGGTGTCTGTGGTTATGATCAGGTTGTTTCTCAGTATTAATAAATAGTCATGAAGTTCAAACTCTGTCCTACTTATATCTGCGAATCTAGCTTACCTCTCATGTCTCAAGAATAAAGGCTGTGATTGAATTGACTTCAGCCCACTATAAATGTTGTGAAGTAAACTGATAGTGTGTGAAACTCTCAGTCTGAAAGTATGGGTAAGACACAGATGGTAGGAATAAGCCAGTAAGAAGAACTGAAGTATAAATAATTACCTGTTTAGGCTGCAGAGGGCTCTGGAGTGGAGACTTTGAGTTCCTATGTCTGATGGATATTCTGTCTAGTGGGTGGAAGGGAGGCTTGTCATGTTTGACTCCTGTGGCTGATGAAGTTAGGCTGACAACTTTTGCTACCTTGTTGATACTGAAACTTAGTTTGGAACTTCAGGTTGCAGATGCAGCTAAAAATACAGAGATCTGTGACAAACTGATGAGCCAGCACAGCATCTATGTCCAAGCAATCAACTACCCCACGGTTCCTCGTGGAGAAGAGCTGCTACGTATTGCTCCTACACCTCACCACACCCCTCAGATGATGAGTTATTTTCTTGGTGAGTGGACTCATGCTTTAGTATGATGAGAAGACTGGGCTGCTTATGCAATCTTACAGATAAGACTAGGAAACGATTAAATTTTAAGTGATACTGGCTGGATAATGCTTGCTGCAGCTTTCATGTCCTATGCTTGTGCACCTAACGTGAAAGCCAACAGACTGACCTAGAATACTGTGCTCTCCCAGTGCATTCCTACATTCAGCCAGTTCTGTCCCAGTCACTCCTGCTGGGGCTGCTTGTACATCATCCAAGCAACCTTAACAAGAGAAGATTAACTGCAGCCCTATTGTGTCATTCCAGAGGTGAATTATCCTAAACAATTCTTGCATCTCTTCCTTTCCTGGGATAAATGTTCTGTCAGTTCTCTTTTGCTGAAGTATCTGATGTTCTGAGTTGTGATCTTGGTGTGTTTCCTTGTTTGTAACAGAAAGGCTGCTGGCTACATGGAAGGATGTTGGGCTGGAGCTGAAACCACACTCATCAGCTGAATGCAACTTCTGCAGAAGACCTCTACACTTTGAAGTGATGAGCGAAAGGGAAAGATCCTACTTCAGTGGCATGAGCAAACTAGTATCTGTCAGTGCATGAAAGTAACAGTGTTAATCCTATTCTTATCTAGTTCTCATATCCTTCAGTAGCATTTTTAAATTACTTAATAAGCATTTTAATCATAGTTAAAGCACTAAGCTCTGAAAATAAATTTCTAGAGCCCCTGTCCAGTTGTGTGTTTTATTTCTTTTCGATTTAGCCTCCATAAGAAAAAGTGCCAATAGTTAGAAGGGCATCCCATTGAATAAAAAGTGCTCTACACTATCAGCTGGAGTACTGTCTCTTCAGTCAGTGTCAGCCAAAACATCAGCAATTTCCTACTTCTAACTCTAGAAGGTGTAGGTTTATTACAAAAGAGAAGACTTAGTGATACTAAGAGTTTCTCATCAGAAGAGAAGACTTAGTGATACTAAGAGTTTCTCATCAGTCTAGCTCTGTTCCCCTCTGCTTTCTGATGCCTTTATCCTTGTGCACTGTGGGCATCTCCCTGGCTGGAGATAGAAGGTTGCTCATAGTTGGCACAGTCCTGCCAAGTCTGCATTCCTGAGTCTGAGAGCTCACCTTCAGTGGAAAAACTGCTTGTCAGTGACTGGTCCTTAATCATTCAGCTCTTGGACAGGTCTGACATTGCTGCTTTTGCAACCTTTGAAAAATTTGCATGGCAAATGGGGTAACAGGCCTGTTCAAAGCTGTCATGCATAGTGGAGTCAGGGAAGTAATTCTGTGGGTGTATGTGTGCATTGAGAAGGAAATACTGGCATGAAGGCCTGGGCAAAGCAGTGCACTGCTTCCTTTGTGCACAGGCATGTCCTGTAACTGCTGCAGGCTTGTTTCCACAAGTCTCTGCACAGGTTTTTCTCTGGGTGCTCCTCTCAGCAGAGGTGCAGTGGCTTCTTACATCCTGTTATGGTTGCAGATATGCTGTGAAGTTGCCACAAGGGTCCATTCTAATATTGCAAATAACTGCAAACTGCAGCAAAGTCATCATCTCTATCCACTGACTATGGGGAACACAAGTGTTGCTTTGCTGCTCCAGAAGGCTTAGCTTTCCCTTGTTTCCCTTGCTGTGGCACTAACCTTATCTTAGGAATTTCCCAGAGTTTCTGGGAGAAAAATGATGCCTCATCCCTGTGGCCTTGCCTTGCAACAAGCAGCTCATGGCTAAGGCTGTGTGAATGTGTAATTCCATTGCAGCTCTTTTCTCATCAGCAGTGAGGTTGTAACTGGAGACACTGGAAAACTTACAGGCCAGCCATCAGCCTCTCCTAGAAGAGCATCCCAAGCACCACAAAGGTGTTTGCAATGCCAGGAGCATGGTGAGCATCTGCATGTGATGATCAGTGCCCTCTGCACTTGTTCATATCTGATATGGTGCATTCCCTTAGCTTGCACAGGTAAGCAAGGGGTGAAGGCAGGGACAACCATCACGGCTGCAAAGAGTGACAAAGCCAATGACACATGGAAAGAAGGCGTTTTTCCCCACTGAAAAAGGACAAAGAATGAAAAAACAAACACAGATTGTTTCCCAGCAAACAAAGCTCAAATGGCTGGTTGTGTAACTACCGGTGGTTATATAAGCACGAGTTTGGTTTCTGGAAAATAATAAGAGGAAGCAATTGGTAAAAGATGTTTAAAGCTGGGGACAAATGGGCTGTAACACTGTTGGAGTGAGCAAGTGTGAGGTGTGAAGGCATTGCTAAGATTTCCCTGTTGACCCATGCGGGCAACAGTACCCATTCATTTAGTTGAGTGTTGCATAGCCCTAACTCCACATCTCCCATTTCTCAACCTATTTACACAACTCCTAGAAGTGCAAGTGCAGTAAAACATCCTGAATGCAAAGAAAAGCACACCTTGGCAACGTGTGCAGATGGCACAGCCTTGAGCACGGCACCAGTAAATACCCAAACCCTGGGACCACAGAAAACCCCAGAGAGCAGCAGGGCAGCAGGCTGCTTTAAAAATACTTTATTCTTTAGAAAATACAGCATTCAGTACAGTGAGCTCCGTTCCCCCCAAGGCTTCACACCCCCCTCACTGGGGCACCCCAACACGGTCAAGGCAACATCGGCACATTCACCGGTGAGTGGGGAAGGGCACAGGAGCAGCCTGGTGTTACCATTGCCCAGGGGTGTGGGAGAAACAGGCCTCGCTGGTACCCAGCAGCAAGGTGCTCTCCTCCCCAAATCCTCCAAGAAAAGCCAAATCCACAGTGCCAAACTCAACCAGCCCTTGGTGACCAGCGATGTCCTCGATGCTGTGAGCACAGTGGAGCCCCAGCTGGTCCTCCCTGGGGAGCAGCCTTCCTTGTGCCAGAATTTGGGGCAGCCCACGTGGGTGGGAGCTGGGTGGCCTTCCAGGGGCTCAGGGCTTTATCCCATCTCCCACACCCTTTTCCTTGCCACCCCTCTCACCTGGGTGCCAGCCTGGATCAGAGGTTCACCCCACAGATGACAACACCCAGAATTAATGGAGCAGTCAAGCCAGCCCCTGCCTTGCAATCACACTACAAACACTGAGGCACCCCTATGCTGATAAAAGCACAGGGATGGGGATGAAGGAAATGGGGGAGGATGAAGTACGATGACAGACAACACAGGGGACAGGGGTGGCATGGAATGGGTTCCGGCTCCTGCCCCAAACCCAGCCACAGGGCTGAGGCAGGGCTGTAACAGCTCCCTCCAAGGGAAAAGGCTGCCCTTGGTGGATCAGAAAGGGGATCCAAACATTGCCAACAGGCACAGTAACCTTTCTCCAAAGTCAGGTGGAGCTCAGACCTTGCCCTGCACCAAGACTGGACCAAAGCAGAGCTGGGTGCTGCCCTTCCTCTGCCCATACCCATGAGAAACTGGCTTCAAAGTCCATTGAGCCACATCCCTGTACCCCAGCTCAGACCCAAGGGGCTTCACAGCCAGCCCAGCCGGCACAGGGACCTAGAGCTGGGTGGGAGCAGCATGGAGTGGCTGTATGGGAAGCCACCAGCAGTGTCAGGAACTGGGCAGCTGCTGCTTGCATGTCCAGAGTCCTGGCCATGAGGATGCTCTGTATGACAGCTGGGAGTGAGAAGGGAAGGGAGAAGCATCTGTACTCCCCAAAAGGCAAATCCAGATAGAACAAGGGGCTGTCTCTCACCAGGGACAAACACTCCTGCCAGGTGCTGGGGCTGCAACAGCAAAGTTCCCCCTGCAGGGATGGGTCTGGGCTGCAGCCTGGAAAGGCTTGGGCAGCCATAGGACTTGCACAGCGGGGCTCTGCTGAGCAAAGGTTGTAGGAAGAGGGAGGAGAGAAAGAAGCATTTAATGTTATCTGCTATTAAACCAACACCAGGTATCATCTCCTTCCTTTGCATAGAGCAGCTTGTAGGTGAGTGAATCCTTCCCTCAGCACAGGAAAAGCTCTGGTGCCAGAGGACTGGGGACAGCTCTGGGACCAGAGTAGGCTGGGGACATGATCCTGCTGCTCCCGTGCTTCCCCAGTTGTTCCCAGGCTTGCACAAGGAGAAAGAAACACAAACACCTACAGCCTGTCCCCATCCCACTGCTCTGCGTCGGGAGAAACAACCCGTCCTGATGCTCAAAAAGGAATGAAAAAGGGAAAAGAAGGGGAGGGGAAGGTTGAGATGGAGGAAAAGATCCCCAGGTCAGCAGAAAGGCCTGGAACGGAGGGGTGGAAGCTGGGAAACGTCAGGGGGATGCTGTCCATTCACCACCCGTCCCTGCCTCATCCAGATCTAACTGTCCTCGCCGTTCTCTCCTGGCCCTTTAATCAGCCTTTTCTGTCCCCGTTTCCCCACGGGCCCCTTGGGCTTGGCAAAGGCCTGTTTGAAGGCGTGCTGCTTGGGGTGCACCTCGTCATACAGGAACTCTGCCGTCAGCTCAGCGCCGTCGTCGATCTCAATCTGCACAGGGAAATGGGGTGTGTTACCATCAGAAAGGTCAACACCAGGGAATGGTGATACAGGAGGTGTCATGACAAAGGGACTGACACAAATGGAAACGGTGTTACAGTGAGAAAGAAAAGGTGCTCACCTGTCTCCAAAGATCTGGGCTTGCAGGGAAAACTCCACAAGGGAAGGATCTCCAACCAAAGATCCTTTCCCCAGTGGCACTCAGCCCTTCAATGAGGTCTAAGAGAGGTGCAGCCAGGCTTCACCCCTTCCTGTCTCACAGCTGAATTGCCTTCAGCTGTGCTCCCAGGCTGACCAGATCCTTTTCCCAGGTGCTCAATCAGTGGTTCAGGCTGGGACTCAACAGCTTCCATAAAGGCTTTAAGCAGCTTTCAGAGAATCAGCTGAGTTGGGAAATGCCTTCAGAATTAAGTCCATCCACCAACCTGAGCTACAGAGTGCCATCACCAAGCCATGTCCCTTACTGTCACATTGTCACATCCACATATCTCATAAATTCCTCCAGGGCTGGGGCAGCCCAGCTCAATGCCTGACTGCCTTCGCACCCCAAAATGCTGCTCCCTCAGGGTCACCCCGCACTCCTCCCCAAGGACGGGGGAGGATGGGTTTGGACCAAGGACCCAAAAGGTAGAAGCAAAGGGGCCTCCATGTGCCCACTGTGTGAAGTACTGCTGTCAAATGACTCAAAGATTTAGGTCACTTCAATCCCAAAGCTTTCAACCAGGGAAATCCATCCTCTCCTACAGGATAGAAGTCTTCACCAAAACACAGATGCGGGGATACCCATTAGGGCTGGGTCAGAGATGTCAGTGCAAAACCATTCCCCTTTTCTGAAGGCCACTGCGAAACAACCTCAGTGATGCCTGAGGCTTCCCTGACTTCTGAGACCCCACCCCAGTCAAAACCACATCACATCCAGGAGGTAGGGACTCACCTTCTTTGCTATCTCCAGACAGAACTCCTGCTCCACGGTGTCGAGCAACCGGCTCTTGCAGCTGGAGTAGAGCATGCGCTCCTTGATGCTGCATTTGTACCCAGGCATGGAGTAGATGAACACTGTGAGAGAGGAACAAGGCTCAATGCTGCCCATGTACAAGGATGGGGAGCTGCCAGATCCTGGCTTTCTGGGGCTTTTCCAGGCTGAAGAGCCCTGACAAGCTCAGGCGCAGAGACCAGGCCCTCCTGCTCCCATACTCTGCAACTCAGCAGCCCCTTGCATAAATCCTCCCCAGTTCTCAATACTCAAGACCTGAATTGCACATTCCCCACATTCTTCTTGCTGCCACTCCCTTGGGGGGAGCACGGCAAGGGAGAATCCACTCAGACCCCCCAACACCACCTGCACCATTGCTAAGGGCAGAGCCAGGGGCTCTGAGCAGTCACTGCTCACCAACAGACTCCAGGTAGTCTCCCTCATGTGAGTGCTTGTACAGGAAGAAGTGGTAGCGAGCAGAGTCCTGTGGGATCCTCTTGGGCAGGTCAGTGATCTCTGTGGGGCTCGTGTGCACCAGGTCGATGGTCTCCCGCTCCAGATCCAGCTTCTGATTGACAGAAAGGGACAAAAGAGAGGAAACTGCCACAGCAAGGGGTGCTTGGAGATGCAGGGGGAGCTATGCCAGGGACTCACCAGCTGGATGTAATTGATTTTCTTCTGCTTCAGTGCCTGGATAGCCTGTTGTGCATCCAGCTGCAGGGGAAAGGCCAGGCCCTGCAGGGTTTGGTGCTTGCTCTCCACACTGATCTCTGTCTTCACCTGCAAACAGGAATAGCACTGAGTGTTTGGGTGACCACGGACCAGGTGCCATCTCCAGCTGCCCCAGGGTGAATGTGCATCCTCATGCTTGCATTTGCCAAGGCACAGAGCGGCAGCTGGGGGCATCCATGCCCTCCTGGGGTCAGGAGGCCTGTCCAGCCCTAACCCAGGAACTTGTGGGTTTGATGGGTGAGTGCATGAGTGCTGGCAAAGCTCTCAGGCAGAGGCAATGCTTGGGACACAGCTCACTGGAAACACAGCATTAACATTTAGGATGTCACCAGCCTTGGGACTGTGGTGCTTCCCAGTGCAGAGGAATCACCCAGCAGACTCTGTCCCTGCTTGTGCATCCCCCAGACCCAAAGCTCTGCTCTCCTCCCCTGCACAACTGCTCCCAGAAAAGAACATCTCAGCCGACCTCGGCACTACTGAAGCTAATCATGGGGCTGCATTGGCACAGGCTGCCCAGAACTGTGGCTGCCATCCCTGGAGGTGCCCCAGACCATGGAGAGGCCCTGGGCAGCCTGAGCTGGGGTGCAGCCAGCCCGTGGCAGGGGCGGGATTGGGGTCTGTGAGGCCTCTTCCAACCCAACCACGCTGTGATTCTGCGATTCTCACTCAGCACGAGGCTGTTTGCAGAGAACTCCTAGCTGGGGACAGGGCAGAGTGCCGCAACCAACACTGCTGCCTCTTCACCTCATCCCCCCACACTGCAACGCACAGGGAGCCTTGAAATCCCAGCATCCAGCTGCGTGGGGGTCCCGGCTCACCTACCAAAGCGAGGATTCAGAGACCCACAGCCCCATTTTCACACCAAACCCTCAAAAGCAGAGGCTGCGGCCCCGCTTTGCACGGCGGAGCAAACAAACCCCCCTCTCCACGAAACCAAAGCCACTGCAAAGAGGAAGAAAGATGGACAGGCAACGTCACATCAGGCACCTCCACCCCGAACAGGGCTGTGCTGTGACCCTGCGGGAGGGAAAGGAGAGCGGGACGCGCAGCGGCACAGCATACCTCCTCGGGGCTGGGGTATTCTACCAGCGATGGGCAGCAGCAACAGCCCCCCACCATCTGCCATAGAATACAGGGAGACGGAGTCACGCCGATGGCGGAGGAGCTGCCCCTGAGCCCGCCCCACCTGCCCCAGGCACACTGCACACCAAGTGCTGGTTTGGTTTGGGATCGGCTTAGGAGGTTTTGGTGCAAAGATGAGAAAAGCCCCTTTCCCTTTTTTTCCCCTTTCCTCCCCCCTTTTTTTTTTTTTTTTTTTTTTTTTTTCCTATGGGGATAATGGAGGAAGATCACACACACGAGCAGCCCATCCATCGCCAACTTGAAGTAGGAAAAAAAACCCCAGGAGTGATCTAATCCCCATCTCAAGTCCAAAACTTCAGACACTAAGTCCCTGGGGGGTTTTGTTTAGGGGAGCTCCCCTGGGGGCTTTGTTTAGAGGTCAGCTCCCCTGGGCAGAGAAGTGGGCAAAGGGAGCAGAGCATGCAGCACACGGCCTGTGGAGCAGCCTACCATCTCTGTGCTCGAGTCTTGTGAGCAGGAATCCTGCAGGTGTGGGAGAGGAGACACTGTCAACGGCACCCACACAGGGATGGATGGGTCTAGGAACAAGGAGGGGGGTGGTACCAACATGCTGGGAGGGTGCAGGCCTACCATGTCTCTGCTGGAGGCCAGGGAAAGCAGGTCCTGGGTGCAGGCATGGAGAGTGACAAAATGACATGGGAAATGTCAGTGCTGGGGAGGGACAGCCCTGAGCAAGGCTGTAGGACTGGGTGTTGGGACAGCCCAGGAACTCCAGGGGCATTACCAGCTCTGCTCTGCCTCCTGCTGACTGCACAACACATGTTGGGATGGAGGAGTTACAGCAACAAGGCTGGGGGTAATTCTCCCACAGAAGGGAAGCCCCTAAAAGAGGGATCCCCCTAAAGGTTTGGGGAAAAAGCGCCCAAGCTTCTTTCCAAGCTCAGAGAATAGGAAGATGAGGAGCTCTGCATTCCCACAGCCAAAGACAGGGCAAGCACACACAGATGCTGAGGGCACTCAGGTTTGCATTCTCCTCCCTTGCAGAGGTGTGGAACACGGGATTTACCACTGCCAACACCAGACCCCCATCTTTCTCCCCTGTAAATGCCCTGAGAACTAAATGATGCTGGGGAGATGAGCAAAGAGCTTCAATGCTGGATGAAGCAGGATGGAGTTGGAAAGCTCCCCAGATCAAAGGTCATCCCAGCACTGCTACCCTCTGCAACACACCTCCCCGTGGCATTTCCTACTCCTTCTCTTTTTAAACCCACAAGCACTGGACTCATTTCCAGGCTCTACACAGGGATGGCCAAGCTGCATCCCACAGCTCTTGGCTTGGGTCTTAGGCTGCAGGGCTGGGGGGTGTTTTACCTCCTTTTCTTCAGACTTTTTTCTGCTGGGAGCTGGCAGGGTGCTGACCAGAGCTCCTAATTTGCCTTCATTTCCCACCCCACCCCACAGATAAACCTGGTTTCCCTCTGCATTTCTGAGCCTGCAGTGCCTCCAAGTGCTTCCAGAAGGACTCTCCATTTGGGAAGGGACTTGTTATGACAGCTCAACCTCCATTTAAAAACCATTGTTTGAGCCCATAGGTCACCCACAGCCTCCAGCACAGCAGTGATGCATTTTCTGCCTTCAACTTTGGAGAGCTCCCTCACACTTTCCCCAGGAGGATGGCTCAGCACATCCCCTCTTTCCATTCCAGCTGCAGCCTGGCTCAACTCTTCCCTGTCCCAGTGCAGAAAGCTGAGCTCACTGCTGCACAGCTGCCATATATCCACCCTCCTGCTTTGCTGCTGCCTTTTGCTTCCCACTGGTGCCTGCTGCCAGCCCAGGAACACCAGCACTTCCACAGTGAGAAATGCCAAACTCACAAAGGTTAGAGAGACCGCGCTAAGAGATGCACCACCAGCAGCAATCCCAGGCAAGTGGCAACGACATGCACTGCAAGGCACTTGGTAGCTTTTAAAGAAACAGTGTCCCTTGTGTCACTTCCAAAATCCTGGTGGATTCACAGAGCTCAGGGTCCTGAACTAACAAAGAGACAGACGAAGAGCAGAGCTGCTGAGGTCTGAGCTCGCTGCAGGGCTGCCCAGCAGGTGACAGCCACTCCTCAGTATTTTGTCACCCCACGTGAAGACACTGCCAATGTTTCAGCTACAAAGGACACGGAGCTCTGACTCCAGCTGTGGTGATGGGGACAGAGGGGGAAGCGCCAGCGTTCTGCAGAGCCAACGCAAGCACGGCACCAGCACTGCAAACACAACTGCTGCAGCCTCCTTCCCTTGTGCTGCAGCAAAGTGTTCTGCAAGGAGACAGGTTACTGTCACTCTGCTTCTGCAGCAATTTGCATGTCCAGGCAAGGACGGAGGTACTGCTGTACAGGGTGCTGAAAGCTGCTCCCATAGCCCCTCTCTGCTTTGCACTGCTCCAGGAACTTGCTATAAGGTCAGCACCCACACAGACCCTGCAGCAGCCCAAGCATCCGGGTGCTTCACACTAAATTCAGAGGCAAAATAGTGATTTTTCTCTCTTTCTAGATGAGAAGGTCCACTCGCTGTGGTTCAGGCTCACACAGGGGACAGCGTACCTTTAAAAAGAAACCCAACCCAACCAAACCTGGGCAGCTCACTCACTCGGGAGCCACCTCTTGCAGTCAGGAGGGTGGGAAGCAGCGCACAGCAGATCACTGGGAACACAAGCAGAACGAGCAACACTTACCTGGGCCACTTCACCCTGCAAGACACAGCCAAGAAAAAGCACTTAATCCTACAACACCGACCAGCCAGGGCGATGGCCTGGGCGGGACCATAAAAGCCCAAAGTTACTGCAAGATAAGCAGCACAGCCCAGAGCCTTGTCTCAGAGCACTATTAGCTCTCTCTTCTCCAAGGTGTCATCTTGCAATCTTCAGCCTAAATCCTGCCCATACCCTCTGGGTGGGAGCTGGGATGACTACATCAAGCCCTGCTAGAAGATCACCTTTTGGTGGCATGCCCCAGATCCGCTCATCATATCTGCCCAGCACCACCCAGTGGTTATCACCACATGCTCAGCAGTGATACTGCAGGACAAGCAATAAACTCCATAGTTCTCCAGGTCTACAGGGAAAGGAAGGTTCAGGCAGTACTGAGAAATGTGATTCCAGCCCCTTGTTGTGAAAAAAGGCCAGGTGCTGGTTGGTCCCTTCCCAGTTTGCAAGAAAAAGCAGAGGAAAAGAGGACCAACAACATGAATGCACTGGATTGGCACTGCCCCCAGACCTGCTCCTGCCCTGTCTTTGCCACTAACTGGACCAGACTGCTTGGCTTCATATCTCCCAGGCTCCACATCCACCCTGAGCCCACAAACCCATCACAGGAGGAAGAGAGAGAGATGCTCCTTCTGTGACGTCCCAGCGAAATCCCCCTCCTCCCAAACACAGCTTCCAGGCAGTCCTCTCACCCCATAGGATCCTCTTCACAGCCTCAAGGTTTTCACAGCATCACAGAGGTTGGCATGAATGTCTCATGCTGCTGCAGGACCAGTGTTGTGCTGCAGCCTTGTCTGGCCTCATCCAGCCATTTCCATACCTCCTTCCAGCACTAAGCCCCAAACATTCAGGCTAAGACCTCTCCCCTTTAGCACAGCATCCCCCACAGCCACAGATGAACCTGAGATGGTACACTGCTACAGCCAAAACATGAGCTGGAATCCTTTCTGTTTTCTCCTCAAATTCAACTCCAGCTCTGGGTTTCACCCTGATATCTAAAGATTTGACACTGCTGCCTGCCCTGGGGCTCCACCTGCCTGCTAATTGCTAATTACAGCATGCAGAGGAGATATCCAAGCTCATGTCCAAGTGAAGTCTGTAAAATTCATCATCAATCTGACCATGAGGTCATGCAAATGCTTGATCCACCTCAGCAGGTTCAGGAGCAGGTTAAAAAGCACACGTATAAGGGAGCTTTGTAAGAGTGAGCCACCTCTGCACCAAAGGCTGAGCCCCAAACCTTCCTGGGGCTGGGTGCCATGGGATGCCCACCTCATTGATGCGGATCTGCTGGAGCTCCTGCTCAGCTGCAGTCAGCGGGGCGGGCGCAGAGCAGGATGATACGTGCTTCTGGTACCCACTGAGGGACACATCCTCCTGCAGACAGAGGGACAAGAAGGGAAATATTAGGGAGTTATCACCACAGAGCACACAGGGCAGGGCTATGACCCCAGCCTGGATCTGAGATTCCAAGCTCTGGCTCTCTCCCTACTGACGTGAATGACCAGTGTGGGTTGTGGTCTCAGACACCTTAATACAAATATCACACTTGATTTGAGCCCTGCCCATCCAGGCAATCCCACCAGCCATGCAGCAGTGCTGCCCCCAGTTTAGGAGCAAAGCTTAGGACTACAACAGCAAGAAGAAAAGGAGACCACAGCCTGATTGCAGCCACGAAGCAGGATGGCAGCAGCTGGAGTCTTGGGTAGGCTCTCAGAGCTCAGGTTTTAACTCAAAAGATTGAACAGAACCCTGCGTGAACCACAACTGTACCTTAACTGTTCCAAACATCTCATCCTTTATATGCCCCCCTCCAAATTCTTTCTTCACCGTCGCTCTGGTTGCAGCATACAGCATCTTCAGCCTGACCTGTGTGAGGAGGGATACAGCAGACACGGTCAGGGAAGGAAGCAGGGGACCAGTCACGTCCATCCCACTGGCACCTGATGGTCACTGCCACCTCCTGGCCCACAGCTCTGCCTTCCCAAAGCTCAGCTTCTGGGTTACAAGCTCAGCCTGTCACCCCTTCCATGTGCAGCTACAACCACAGCTGGTGCTGTCATTTGAGACTCATCCCTTGGAGCCAGCTTGCTCCAGGAACCCTGCAGCACAACAAGGAATAATGTCACCTCCACGTGCTTGCTAACCACGAGATGCTCTGGTTACACAAACACACACAAAAACAAAAACAAATAAATCAAAACCAATACAGAGACTCCAGATTCTCTTAGGGAGCAGAAAGCTCTCTGTAGCTATTGGCACTACAAGCTATGAAGTACCTGGAAACAAACAGGACTCTACCAGAGTCCTGTTTCTAATCTCAGCAGCTCAAGCTCCAGGGGACTGCTCTGAGCACAGGGTGGGCACATATCAGCTCTATTTCCACAGCTATGCATGGAGGCATGTGCATGCTGCAGCCTTAAGGAGCTCTGGCCTCAAACCACTCTGTACAAACTGTGGTTTGTACAGATAGACAGCAGCTTCACAGGGAATCATGAAAACAATCACGTTGCAAAAGAACAGTAGTGAGGGCTTTGGTTTGATGTTATGAGTCGTCATAAGGGACCACATGCTTCCAATGAGAATTCCCCACCAACAAAGCAGAACGTTGTTTCCATTCACCTTTTAGCACTTCTCTCCTGCAAAACTCTCTTCAGGAAAGAACTTTTGCAAGCACTCCCCAGCCCCCCTTGACTGACACAGAGGACCAAGCCAACCCTCTGCCATCAAGGCTCACAGTCCCTGGGTTATGCTAAGGCCAAGGTCACAAGTCACAGGAACATCAACACCAGCCTACGAGCCAGCAGGTGTCGTTGCTGGCCTACAGTTACACATCCTGGAGCCACTGAAAGAAGATTTTTGGACACCTGCCCATCTTGCTCCCACCCAAATGCCACAAGTCCTGGGACAGCAGAGCTCACCGGGGAGTTATCAGGGGACCAGGAGATGAAGAGCCACTCGTAGCCCTGGGCGTTCTGGCTGTCCAGGCGGTACAGCACATAGCATGGCTGCTGCTCATCCAGCAAGGGTAGCACAAAGGCATCATAGTCCATGTCCCAGCGCCGGGCCAGCTCCTTGTGTGCTCCCAAAACGAGCTGTTCTGGAAGGAGAAGAGAGAAAAGTGAGGGTTATAAGTGAGGCAGGTGGCAAAGGCAAGGCTGAGCTGCTCCTATCAGACTCCCTGTAACCTCAGAGATACAAAAACACTTGCTTGAGGGATAAGCAGCCAGGGGTCTGTGCTGTGTCCCCCTGCAGCAGGCCGTGCTGCCAGAGAGCCCTGGCTTCTGGAAAGGATTTATGTAGTTCACACATGTGGTGGCATCTCAAGTGTCCAGAGGGTATTTTTTCCCCCTGCTACGCAAGCATCAATGGGGCTGGAAGCAGCAAGCAGCAAGCTGGGCAGTGTGGGGCTGGGGTTTAAATGCTAGCGTAGGCATGGTATGAACACAAAGAGAAATATCAGAGAGAGAAACGAAAGGTTTGCCACTCTCCAAAGCCTCTTCAGAAGAGCTCTCAGGAGGCAAGGACAGCAGGTTTCTGTGTTCCTGAAGTGCAGCAGTGAGGTTTTGCACTTGCTGTGGCTCTGCCCCTGGAGCGTGGGACACCCTACATCCAAAAGCTGCTTTTTAGATCATGTTCCTCCAGATGATTTGCAGGGAAGAAAAGAGGCTTCAAAAAGCTGAAGGACTACCAGCAGCTCGCCTAGAACTGCTCTGTCAGCCCTGCTCCAGACAGACACCATCCCCAACCTGTGCTTTCAGAAAAGCAGTGCTGAAAATACTTTATCTCCAATCAAACCATCTGCTTGGAGAGAGAAAGGAAGAAGCAGCATAAAAACTTCCATGTATGTTTAAATAACACAAAGCAGGCAAGCAAAAGGAGTCGGCTTTTTGGAAAGCTCCAAAATCAAAGAGATCCCAACAAATTTCACCTGGCCAAACACCCAGGCAGCCCCAAGGCATTCCTATGTGCTGCATGTCCCAGCACCCCATGCACAGGGCAACCAATGCCAGGTAATTCATTGCAGGTCAAGCAGCACAAGCCAGCCCACAGCAGCGCCCTCAGCAGCCTGCAGCATCCAGGTGTTCCCTAGGCTGAAGAACTGCCTGTTCCAGAAATGCAACACCAGCATTCAGCATTCTCTATAGGACCACCTCCAGCATCACCCTTTTCAGCCTTTGTTTGCTCTGCAGCTTGTTCTGCTTCCTCCCACAGAGTCTCTGCAGTTCAATTCAATCTCTTTAGGGCAAGTTTTCCTCTCTAGATCATGCAGCAAAGCCAGAAACTGCACCATGGTTGGTGTTCCCAGAGCCCAGACCATGGAGGTGACAGCATGGTGGCAGGGCAGAATCAAAGCACAAAGCACTGCCAAGCAAGGAGCTGTGATTTCCACTGATAGTAACACATCTCCATTGCTGCTATGGAGCAGCATCTAGAGCCAGCAGTCCTCACAGCCACACTGCAGCCTGGGCTTATCTGACTCATCCCTAACAGAAGGTTGAGCTTTTTAAAGGCTAAAGATGACCAGAGAACAAAAACGGTTGTTGGATGTACAGGTTGGCTGCTGAGCTCCAGGGTGGCTGATGTCACTGCAGTCCCAATGGCAGGACAGTGCCACATTGCTCCGTGAAAAACAAGTCATTCATATGCAATTGTACCTGGCTGAGCAGATGGAAAACCTACACCTCAGAGGTTCCTGCTGGGATGCTCAATCAGTGCTTTGCTCCGCTTGCTTATTAGATAAAAACTGAGGCCCAAAGGCACCTTTTGGTGGCCAAATGCAACAGGGCAACACGCAGCCCCCTGTGCCACAGCAGCAGGAGCTGGGACTGGGGGCACTGGAGAGCTGGTCTGAAGTCAGCAGGATGCAAAGTCATTGCGTATCCCAGAGCGGCCCAGCAGAAAACTGTGAGGCTGTTGTTGCCAAGAGTTGCTCAGCAGCTCACCTGAATTTGGGGCTTGGTTTTCACATGGACCCACAGCACTTTGCTCTATGCTGCCATGTGCCAAGAAGCCCCACTTGGAATTTGTACAACATTTCCAGAAATGCAAGCCCTATTTTTCAGCATATTTGGCCAGCAAAGAGAAAAGAAAGGAAAAGAGGAGAATTAGGCTGACACAGCATAAATCAAAGCACTTAAAAATGAAGCTTACCTTCCTCGATGATCACCTTGATGAGCCGAACTGAACCATTTCGGGCTTTGGCAAAAAAGTCCCTTAATTCCGTGGTGGCTGAAAGAACCAGAAACATTGTGATCAGGTCAAAGGGCCAAAGCAGGTGTTGCTCACTGATGGGCCGTGGGGATAAGGTGATTTGGCAGGATATTAATTAAAAACAGTCCAGAAAATAGAGAGAAAGAATAACAGGTGCCAAAATGTTCTAATAAAAATAATATGAAATCCAAACAGCTGGCCTCATCGGGGGTAGTAAAGTGCTGCGTCTCCCAGAGGCTTCAGAGTTAAATAGCAGCTGGGAGCACATGTGATCCAGATAACCTGATACTTGGCCTGGGTGAACATAATCACCCAAATTTAGCTGATGGCTTGGCTGGTGCAGGCGGAGCTCAAGTGACAAGTTTATTAACTTTGCAGCGCAGTCAGGTTTGTGTGCAGGGTGGCTGGGAGATGTTAGGAAAGGTGGGGATGCTGCTTAGCCCCAGTGCTGCAGGTCAGTGAACCCAAAGTGGAGGAAGCAGCTTGAAACTGAGCCCTCCGGATGGGAAAGTACAGCAGGCCATCAGCTATGGCTGCAGGCAGGTACCCACATGACAGCTCAACAACGAGCCCAGTGGATGTGGCCATGCAGCCAATCTGCAGGGTCAGAGAGCACCAGGAGCCACAGGGGTCAGAGCAGGTAAGAGTCACCCATAGAGCTCTGTGGGAGGCAGCACATAAGTGCACACCCTATGAGACCCTTCCATGCTGCTGCATGTGTTCTGCTCCAGCCTTGCTCTGCAAGAAAGAAGAACCCAGGCAGGGTGCTTACTGCAGGGCATCCCACCTGGAAGATCCCATCCTGAGACTTTAAATCTGCAGAGCACTTATTAGAAATGCAGAAACAAGTGCTGCAAAGATAAGCAACCCACTGCTCCCTGCAGCAGCCCCAAAGTGCAAACACAACGGGAAACTGCTGCTCGTGGGGTCACCAACAGAGAGGCTGGGCAGACTGGTTTCCTTCCTCCCATGTGATAAATCTGAGCTGCAGGTGTTTCACCATCTCAAGAGCTGTCCTGAGCAAAGGTCTAGAAGTTCTCCCTTTCCTTGATGCCTTCTCAATCAGAGCACAGCTTGTGCTGGAAGGGACTCAAAGCCCCTCAGCCTCAAGCCCTGCCCTGCTTGCCCCCCACCAGATCAACCTGCCCAGGGCCCACCAGCCTGGGGCATCTTCTGCAGAGAGAAAAGGCACAGATGAGAAACAGCCCTCAGGCTCAGAGCCAAACCCAAGCACAACACGGGAACGGGACCATCCTCCCAAACCCATCCCATGGCCCCCGGCAGCACGGAGGCACACAGCTTTCCAGCAGCACTTAGCCTGCTGATGGGTATTTTTAGCCCTTCCCCTGCTGACAGGCTGCTTCCTTCCAGCAGCTGCTGTGGTTGCTGAAGATACGAGAGGTTTCTCCCAGGGCGGAAGAGGAGGAGGAAAAAGAGATGTTTCTACACCTAGGAAACCTAAACACGAGAGCCAAAGGGTTCTGATGAGCGTTACACTTTGCCATCGTGCTGTCCAAACAGGAGGGAGGGGGAATAACAGCATTCCTGGCTTCAAGCTCAAATATTTTGGAAAAAAACACCAAAAATTAAAAAAATAATAATAATAATAATAATCACTGATGTGTCTGTGTCATTCCTTTCTGCTTCCTGCAGCACAGAGCCAAGGGAGAGGAACATGCTAGCCGTGAAGGCTTTCAGCATGAGCTCAGCAACTGCTTCATTACAGCATGATTACTGCTTAATTGGCATAGCAGACCTGACGAGACAGTCTGCGTGCCTGAAATATTAACAGAGAGCCCCCAGCCTGTTCCAAAGGAAAAGCAGAGGGATGGAGGAGGGAGCAGCACTGAGGCATGGGGTGACACAGGCAGCAGGGGTGTCCCCAGGATGCGATCCCAGGGCTGAGAGCCCTGCATGTAACAAAAACCCAGAGCAGCTGCGTGGCAATGGGAGCTGCAGAGGTTGGGCCCAGAGCTCAAGGGAAGTCCTCAGTGCTGGCAGGTCCTGGAAGTAGCATGGCACCATGCTATGCTGTGGTTGCTGGAGGTAGTTGGCAGCTGAGGCAAAGGGGAAGGCAGCTCAGATGCATTTTGGGGGTCGGTGCCCACAGCAGGAGGTCCCCAGACCTGATGTGGGTCCAGCTTTAAGTCCACATCTCCAAGGTGAGATCTGGCCACCACACCAACGTGTCCTACAGTCAGGAATAGAGGAGAGGCAAAATGCATGCTGGAGGACAAGGAGAGCTCCCTGTTCTCTCAGCAGGTTGGAGGAACAGGCTGGAAAAAAAGAAGAAAGAGGATGAAATTCACTCGGAAGCAAAACAACACAGAGGGAGAGCAACGTGCATTGCCAGCAACTCTGGAGGGAGGGTCACGCTGGGGGCAAGCCAATGCTGGTTAATGGCTTCATGGCATTGCAAAGTCAGTCGTGAAGGCAGGAGCACAGCTTGCAGCAAGGTTACACGGTGCTGACACAGCCTCAGGATTGGTGTCGTGCAAGGAGAATGGCACAGGCCATGCGAGACTGTGTCCAAAGAGGGAGAGCAGCCCTCACCTGCTGGGCCTTCCCACTCATCCCCATCCTGCTGACAGCTCCCAGATCAATAATACATGTCCCCTGAAACAGATGCCTCTCTCAGTGTGCCGCGTCCCCTCGGCCTCCCGGCACGAAACCTGAACCCTCAGCCATCAATCTTTCATCCTCTGGTCACTATCCTCAAGCTGAAGCAACTGCACACGGCCAATCCCTCCTGCAGCTCGGCTGGCTGCTTTGGGCACTGAGAAGATTGCATTTCTCACCGTGGCTTTGCAGGCAGCCTTTTCTCTGGTGAAAAAGCTACAAATTGCATGAGAAAATAGAATGGAAGGAGAGGAAAAAAGAACAACGGAGCAAGAGAGGACACAGCCAAAGCCTTCCAGTTCTCCACGATCATAGAATGGCATAGAATGTGTTGAAAAGGACCGCAGTGCTCATCCAGTTCCAACCCCCTGCTATGTGCAGGATCAACAACCAGCAGCCCAGGCTGCCCAGAGCCACATCCAGCCTTGAATGCCTGCAGGGATGGGGCATCCACAGCCTCCTTGGGCAACCTGTTCCAGTGCATCACCACCCTCTGGGTGAAAAACTTCCTCCTGATATCTAACCTAAACCTCCCCTGTCTCAGTTTAAAACTGAATCCTATTTAGTGATAGCTCCTTGTCCTATCACCATCCACCCTCATAAACAGCCGTTCCCTTTCCTGTTTATGTGCTCCCTTCAAATATTGGAAGGCCACAATGAGGTCTCCCCAGAGCCTTCTCTTCTCCAAGCTAAACAAACCCAGTTCCCTCAACCTTTTGATGCTGGGCTCTATTCTGCAGGAGGATTTCACTGAATCTTGGCCCACATTGCAGATCCTGTCTGGATATCTCCAGCCACTCATCCCATGAGCCATTCGCCTCCATGTGCCTGCCTGGAAGCCATCTTCCCCCCACCCTGGCACCTCCCAGTTCCCCATCAGCTCTCACTCTGGGTATCAGACCAGCAGAGGTCTCATTGCATTTAGAGGCTCTCGACATGCACTTTCCAAGGGACTTCCTCTTCTCCGCTACTTTAAGAGGCTTTTATTATTTGCACATCCTCAAAATTACAGCTCAAGCGCAACTTCTGCAGGGGTTAGAGCCTGCTTCTGTGCATTCTGAGTCATGGGGGTGTTTGCTTCGTGTTTTGCATATGCCCAGGGCATTTCTGCTCTTTGCTGCAAAGCAAGGCCAGGAACCAGAGCACTGGTGCCCAGCCCGGAAGAAGCAGTCGTTACCCACAGATGGGGAGCAGCTCCTCAAAGCCAGCCCTGCAGCAGCTCACTGCGCAGGCACCATGAGCAGGGAGGTTTTCGTTTCCCTTTTCTCATCTCAGCAGAAACCCCATCACCACCATTCCTCTCTGTTGCCCGCAGGGCGCACCTACAGCCAAGGAATCACAGAATCATTATGGTTGNNNNCCCCCCCCCCCCCCCCCCCCCCCCCCCCCCCCCCCCCCACTG